CAATCTCTGCCTCCGATTAATGGAGATAGGCGTTCTTCTCCAACCCTACTCACATCCGAGTTTGTGGATGTTGACTTGTGAAGGAACCTGAATAATCAGCAGCCATGGTCAAGCTTCGTATTGAGCAGAGACAGGACTGGTCTGGGCTTCCTTTCACCCAGTTCAGAGGAAGAAGACGAAGCCAGCTGCGACGACGTCGTATTTGCTAAGTGTTAAAACCCACAAGCCTATGCGGCGTCGTATGCCCAAGTGGAACGTTACTTAAACATGTTTAGAGACTGAGCCTAACAGTTGGCACGTTTCCATTGGTTAGATTTGAGATTTGGTTAGTTACCGTTAGTTGCACAGTAAATAGATTAGCCTTGTACAGAGTTGTTTACTGAGTTTATTTACCCTGCATCTTTGTATACAAGATAATGAGAAAAACGGAAGAAAGCCAATTCAGCCAATTACACAAATACGGCCTCTCTGAATCATCATCCTTTCTCTTCTACCTAACCCTGGAACCCTAAATCTAGCAAGGGTTTCCAGTTTTCTCATGGTATCAGAGCGCCGTTCCAGCTACTGATCCTTCACTTTCTTACACCTTAGACGCATTCCTCTTCTGCTACAATGGGGGATGACGATTCTCAATCATCAGATTCTACTAAAAATACCCAGACACAACCCAATCGATACGAAGACCCATATTCCAACCCACTGTACCTGGAGACTAGTGACAATTCCTTCCTTCCTGTCATCGGTTTCAAGCTCAATGATGACAACTACCTCTTGTGGAGTGAATCCACGGAAGTTGCTCTCCGCACCAAGAACAAGTGGGGTTTCATCAGCGGAACAGTTCAGGTACCACCCATCATAGATCCTTCATATAAAACTTGGGATCGATGCAATGGGACTGTTTTGTGTTGGATTATAAATTCTGTTTCTGAAGTCATAGTGCCAAGTCTGAGAAATATTAGGTCTTCTGCTGAGGCCTGGACCTATCTGAGATCTAAGTTCAGTCAGGAAGGGCAGTCTATTTGGTTCTCAGCTGAGGAGATCAGTAAGTTGCGCCAATTACTTCAACACCAGCCTTCAGCACCACAATTTGCTCAGTCCAATTCTGTCACCACTCGTGTCAATGCCTCCAATCCTCATAGACACTCAATGTCAGGTAAAACTTGTCTCTCGACAACTCTGAAAAATCACATTTCTACAGTGTGGGTACTTGATACTGGAGCTAGTGACCACATAGTTTGCAACATGAATCTAATGCTTAGATGCAAAGAAGTTTCTGATATGAGTGTGACCTTACCTAATGGTCAGTCTGCTAGTGTAACCCACATAGGAATAGCTAAGATCCCATGTGGTATTCTACTTACTCATGTCCTGTTGGTTCCATCCTTTTCTTACAACCTTATTTCGGTTAGCCAACTGACCAAGAAAACACCAGTCTCACTCCTGTTTGAATCAAACTCTGTTGTATCCATGACCTAATCTCACAACAGAAGATTGGTTCAATCCAAGTAGATAGAGGGCTTTACCTGCTGGGGAGTGAAGCTCGAGGAATTTCAAGAACCAAACACCAAGCCTGTGGAGTGAACACAAGTCAGGAATCAGCCTTGTGGCATTTAAGACTAGGCCATTTGTCATTACCTAGATTACAGACCATCCAAAAACATAATAGTTCAGTTACTTTACCTTCCTCATCTCACTGTGATATTTGTCAACTGTCCAAACAGAAACGATTACCTTTTTCCAGGAGTTACTCAGTTTGTAATGCTCCTTTTGACATGATACACGTTGACATTTGGGGACCAGTTAATGTCATTTCCCATGATGGATACAGATATGTTATGACCATTGTTGATGATCATAGCAGGTCTACTTGGTTATACCTATTGAGTAGCAAATCTGAAGCTAGAAATTTTCTGCAGTAATTTTGTGTTATGGTGAAAACACAATTTGACAGACCTGTCAAAGTGATTCGCTCAGATCAGGGACAAGAATTTAACATGCCTGATTTCTATAATCAGCATGGGATCATACATCAGCTGAGTTGTGTTAGAACAGCACAGCAAAACGGCAGGGTAGAGAGAAAACATCAGCATTTGCTGAATGTGGCCAGGTCTCTCAAAATACAATCTGGAATGCCTGTTATCTTCTGGAGCCACTTTGTTTTGCACGCTGCATACCTTATTAACAGGATCCCTACCCCAATTTTAGCCAATAAGTCTCCATTTAAATGTCTATATGGTATACCTCCTGATTATAGCAATCTAAAGGTGTTTGGGTGTATGGCTTATGCTACTGTGCTTGATGAAAACAAAGGGAAATTTGATCCAAGAGCAAGGAGAGTTGTCTTCTTGGGATACCCTTATAATATCAAAGGGTTTAAGCTGTATGACTTAGACACACTGCAGGTGTTTGATAGTAGGGATGTTGTTTTTAATGAAAGTTGCTTTCCTTTCAAACTTTCTCAACAGCCTATAGACCAACCATCCTCTTCTCCTCAATTCTCTCCCTTTTCCACTGATTTCTATGATGAACCAATTACTAATCCAATCCTTCCTACATACCACAATGTTCATGAAACAGTGGACTCTGATTATGAGCCTTCTGCCATTTCAGATTCAGACATTTCCGAAGATAATGCATCCCCATCACCTGTACCACATTCTCAACCAACTACCAGCCCTCTTCCATCTCCAGATATTCCCATAGCACTTAGAAAACCCACTAGAGAAACAAAAAGGCCTAGCCATCTTTCTGACTATCATGTTAGTCTTCTTAGTGACTCAGTACCCAAACATGACTCCACTCTCTTGTATCCTCTCAGTAACAGTCTCAGCTACAACCATCTTTCCCCGTCACACAAACATTTCTCACTTTCAATCACTGTACTTTCAGAACCACAGTCATATAGTCAGGCCATTAAGAATCCTCGTTGGAAACAAGCAGTGAATGAGGAACTCAGGGCTTTGATTGACAATCAGACTTGGATCATTGCAGATTTGCCAAATGGTCACACTATTATTGGATGCAGGTGGATATCAAAATTAAATATTTGTCAGATGGAACCATAGAGAGGTTCAAAGCATGACTGGTGGCCAAGGGGTATACACAGATTCCTGGGATAGATTTTGTGGATACCTACTCACCAGTGGCAAAGTTAAATTCAGTCAAGCTTCTACTTGCTGTTGCAGCCATTAAAGGGTGGCACTTGCATCAGTTGGATGTAAGTAACGCATTTTTACATGGAGACCTCGAGGAGGATGTATATATGGAGCTTCCTGAGGGTTTGAAGGATCAGCCAAACATGAAGGGAAAGGTTTTGAAGTTACATAAATCCCTATATGGATTGAAGCAAGCAAGTAGGCAATGGCATATCAAACTCAGTGCTTGCTTGCAGAACATGGGGTTTGAAAAATCATTTGATGATTACTCTATGTTTAAATTGCATTTTCAAGTTTCAACTGTCATAGTTGTCATTTATGTTGATGACATCATAGTAGCAGGAGATGATCTCAACTTGATCCAGCATACTAAACAGAAATTGCAGCAGGCTTTCAAGATAAAGGACCTTGGAAATTTGAAGTTTTTCCTTGGCATTGAAATTGCCAGATCTGCTGCTGGTATCTCTCTTTGCCAACGAAAATTCTACCTTGAACTCCTATCAGAATCAGAATTCCTAGAGTCTAAACCTGCCAAGACTCCCCTGAGTATGAAAACTACTCTTTCAATCTCTGATGGAATTCCATTAGCAGATGGGACTAAATATCGCCATCTTTTAGGCCAACTTCAATACCTCACCACCACCAGACCAGATATTTGTTTCCCAATTCAGCAACTCTGCCAATTTCAGGGGGCCCCAACTACTGCTCATTTGTCAGCCCTTCACCGTGTTCTTAGATACCTCAAGGGTCGCCCTGCTCAAGGTTTGTGGTTTTCATCTAATTCCTCTTCTCTCATTCGAGGTTTCTGTGACTCAGATTAGGCAACTTGCCCAGATACAGTCAGTTACAGGCTATTGCAGCTTTCTTGGGGATTCCCTAGTGACTTGGAAAAGCAAAAAACAAACTACTGTTTCACGATCCTCCTCAGAAGCAGAATATAGAGCTTTAGCTCAACTATCATGTGAAGTGCAGTGGATGAAATCTTTGCTTGTGTTCTTTGAACATGAACATCCCGAACCAGTAAAGATCTTCTGTGACAATTCATCAGCCATTCATATTGGACAAAATCCGGTGTTCCACGAGCGCACAAACCACATCGAGGTAGATTGTCGTGTCACAGAGAAAGACTGAAGTCAGGCCTCCTCACTCTTCACCATATTCGCACAGAAGAACAGTTGGTAAATTTCTTCACAAAAGGTTTGTCAACTGATCGCTTTGTGACTTTACTTTGCAAGCTGGGAGTTCATGATATGTACTCCGCAGCTTGAGGGGGCATGTGAAGGAACCTGAATAATCAGCAACCATGGTCAAGCTTCGTATTGAGCAGAGACAGGACTGGTCTGGGCTTCCTTTCACCCAGTTCAGAGGAAGAAGACGAAGCCAGCTGCCACGATGTCGTATTCGCTAAGTGATAAAACCCACATGCTTATGCGGCATCGTATGCCCAAGTGGAACGTTACTTAAACATGTTTAGAGACTGAGCCTGACAGTTGGCACGTTTCCATTGGTTAGATTTGAGATTTGGTTAGTTACTGTTAGTTGCACAGTAAATAGATTTGCCTTGTACAGAGTTGTTTACTGAGTTTATTTACCCTGCATCTTTGTATATAAGCTAATGAGAAAAACGGAAGAAAGCCAATTCGGCCAATTCCACAAATACGGTCTCTCTGAATCATCATCCTTTCTCTTCTACCTAACCCTGGAACCCTAAATCTAGCAAGGGTTTCCAGTTTTCTCATGACTCGTGCTTTGAGAGCGTACGACAGCGGCTGAGATTGGGACAGCAACGGACTCCGATACAGCTGCTCTTCTTCTTCCTGGGACGGAAGTGACAGATACCGCCGGATGCCATCTGCGGCTGCTTCCCCAGCGTCATCGTCGCGAAGGTCCGGTAGCCGCCGGTACTCGTCGCCACGACTGCAATCGGAGCCTAGACCTTGCCGATCGAGATCCCGACTGAGGCTGCTTGACAAGCAACGGCGCCTCCTCCTCTGCCATTCGCCGAAGAAAAAATTGTGCAATGCCAGAGTAGCCACCGCCAGCCTAGACAATCAGAGTATGTAGACTTTGGTTTGTGCCGAAAGACTTCGGAGTCGTAACCCAACGAGTCGTCAAAACAGGAAGCATCCGACAGGGCCGCGACCCCGTCTGGCCGTCTCCAATCTCCATTCCCCTGCAGATAATAAACAAAAAAAAAAACAAAATGGAACGGAACAACAATTTTGATGCGCTGGTCAACTTCTATTTTTTTTCCTTTCTGGTCGTGATTTTGCCATTCGAGAGCGACAATCGCTTCGTTTTAGCGGATGTCTCGTGGGATTGAGACGTGTTAAAACCAGATACGATAATACCTATTCGGTAAATATGACAGCAACCAGAACGTCTTAAAATTATTAGAAACCGAACAGAAAAATTAGGGTTACCGATCTGGCTGAGTCGTGGACTAGGTCGCTCTATAAGACGTTTGTGGCACTGCCTCGTAATTTGCACAACAGACTATCAGCCGGTTGCCTCCAGGATAAAACAGCCATTCTGATTTGTTGCTCATCGGTTTTGTGCGAAAATCGGAGCTCTATGAACTCACTCTCTCTCATGTTTCTGCTCTGCTGAGGTGTGTTTAGAGGTTCTGGGGCGTCTCATATTTATAGGAGCAGAAACCCCATAATATTCCCTCTTTCTTTGGGAATAAGTCACATTTTAATTAGGGAGATAATTACTCCCATAATTAAAATATAATCTATTAAGGTAATTATTCCTAATTATCTACGTAATATTCCTTTTATTAATTATCTATCTTATTTTCGTATTATGGGAAAAATACTGGATAATTAATTATGAATTTCATTTATATTTTTTCTAGGCTATTCATCCTAACACATACTAATTCTTATGAGTTCTTAATTTTGTGGGAATATGTGTTGAGTAAAGCTAGCTCATAAGTCTGATTGTGCAAACTTTCTATGAGTCATAAGTCATAACATGTCTAATTTTGTTAAAATTAGGGCACAGTTCTTTCAACCAGCAGAGGAAGGAGGAGTTGGAGCTAAGAAAATGACAGATGAAGGAACAGTTCAAAGTGTGAATGCGATCTTTGGTTTGCACGTTGATTCCAAGTTGCGCATAGGTGAAGTGGCATCGAGATCCGGTCCTTTACTTGCCGGTAGTGGAATGTTCGAAGCTGTAATCGGAGGAAAAGGTGCTCACGCAACCATTCCTCAGCACTCTATAGATCCAATCCTTGCTGCCTTCAATGTTGTTGTCAGCTTACAACATCTTGTTTCCCGTGAAGCTGATCCACTAGACTCTCAGGTGTGCACATTCTAGTCTAACTTCTTATCACATGCTTTATTCACAGTGTCTTTTATAAGATAACTAGGCGGCGATGTGCGCTTTGCCGCATATTTATTGGCAACTGTTTGAGGTGGTTCGCTGTTGAGATCTAATTCTTTTCAGTATGATTATGTCATTTTAATTTTATTTATTTATTTATGATAAGAAAAGAGTTACGGAAGTCCGTCGATTTTTTAGTGATCTTTGTAGATGGAGACTCTGGAAAAAAGAAAAACAAACATGAATTTTATTAATATATTTTATTTTACGAATTATGAAAAAATTGTTCAAGATATGCACTATATTTAGTCTTCTAATATTTTTCTCATTGTACTAAATTTACCACCTCTCTAGTCAAGGTTGTCGACCTGCGAGTATACTCGGTGAGAAAAATCAGTGCAACATACCCGTGGGTTGACCCGCATCAAGGCTCTTAGGTTGGAGGTCATATGGCGTCTTTTTTCCCTTTGGTTGTAAAATGTGGTTATTTTCCGGTTTCCTCCTTAGAATTGCCCCGTTTTTGGAATTCTAAGTTAAAAATTTGAATATTGACATTATATGAGTGTGTTTGAATTTTCATTATATGTTAGGTAATCATTTCCATAATGTGCATATTCGAAAAAATTGTTAGTCGTTTCTCAAATGGACAAAATAATATTTTGAAACAGTCAAATTTCCATAAGACCACATCTATCTTTGACTCCTATCGACAAATTGAAAAAGTGAAAATCTAATTAAAACCTACTCAATCTAGTATGAATAAGTATAAAATTGGGCCCGAGTTAAAAAGACCACGACCCCAATAACAGAGCTCAATTGAAGAGCTCTTGATTTTAGTCAACAATAAAACCGATATAGGTTTATTATATTATACAAATTGGTCCACAGTACGAAAGCCCAAGACCATATTAATACAACCCAGTTGAAGAGTGTTGTTGTTAGTGAACAGGAAACAGGATTTAGGTTTATATATAATAATGTTTATCACTTCGAATGCATGTACCAATCTCCTAAACGAATCTATTTTGGTAAATATTGATGCCCAAATTTATCCGCCAAACGGCCCTTTAGTTCAAACGATTTATCATTTTTCGTCTCTGATCTGTTTGGGAATTGGTAGGAAAGAATTGGATTGAAGGCGTGATTAATCACTCTCCTTAGAGTGGGAAAAAATCCCAAAGTACACTAGTTTTTAAAAAAATTTCCCAAAATACATAAGTTATAAAAAAAATTCCAAAAGTACACATGTTTGAGCATCACCGTTTTAGACAAAAACGGTGAAGGTCATCACCGCTTTTGACCAAGACGGTGAATACTTCACCGTTTCAAACTAAAACGGTGAAGGGTTCACCGCGTTTGTTAAGAACGGTGAATACTTCACCGTTAAAAAAAAAACGGTGAAGCCTTCATTTGAATTCCAAGTATTTTGATAACTCTAAATGGTTCTCCTCGTCGATACGATCGCGCTGCCGAAAACGGCTCGTCATTTCGACCTCAAACGAATAAGATACGCGCGTTTTAGTTTTTAGTACGCAAAAGTTACTTTAACGACATGTGCAGCTTTGAACTCACTTATCTCACTCGTTTGGACTCGGAATTGAGATCTGTAAAATTCTATGTGATCGTGGTTGATTTTCCCAACCTTTTTGTGTTGAGGGAAGATAATGATTCTTGATAAAATGATCCAGAATATTCATTCGACAACTTAAGTGCGTAGGATAGTTTTTAGACAATGCAAACTCAAATAACAACACCTAAAAATCACAAAAACAACATTGATAGTTCACTACAATGATAAAATGATAAATTCACTCATTTGCTTCATTTTGGCCCCTATCTCCACCTCTTCCTCCTCGTCCTCCACGACGTCCTCGACCCCTTCTTCCCCCCTCCGCCACTGCTTCTTGGCGGGCTCGCTCAACGGCTGGTCGCGGATTTCTCTTGACCCGAGCCTCAACTGGGGTTACATATGGTGGTGGTGGTGGCTGAGTTGGACCGGTAGCTTGACGAATGATCGGGGGGTTCGGAGTTTGTTGTTGCGGATGTTGGAATTGAGAGAACCCATGATGTTGTTACATATGGTTCTCTCAATTCCAACATCCGCAACAACAAACTCGTGGAGGACGAGGAGGAAGAGGTGGAGATGGGGGCCAAAATGAAGCAAATGAGTGAATTTATCGTTTTATCATTGTAGTGAACTATCAATGTTGTTTTTGTGATTTTTAGGTGTTGTTATTTGAGTTTGCATTGTCTAAAAACTATCCTACGCACTTAAGTTGTCGAATGAATATTCTGGATCATTTTATCAAGAATCATTATCTTCCCTCAACACAAAAAGGTTGGGAAAATCAACCACGATCACATAGAATTTTACAGATCTCAATTCCGAGTCCAAACGAGTGAGATAAGTGAGTTCAAAGCTGCACATGTCGTTAAAGTAACTTTTGCGTACTAAAAACTAAAACGCGCGTATCTTATTCGTTTGAGGTCGAAATGACGAGCCGTTTTCGGCAGCGCGATCGTATCGACGAGGAGAACCATTTAGAGTTCTCAAAATACTTGGAATTCAAATGAAGGCTTCACCGTTTTTGTTTAAAACGGTGAAGTATTCACCGTTCTTAACAAACGCGGTGAACCCTTCACCGTTTTAGTTTGAAACGGTGAAGTATTCACCGTCTTGGTCAAAAGCGGTGATGACCTTCACCGTTTTTGTCTAAAACGGTGATGCTCAAACATGTGTACTTTTGGAATTTTTTTTATAACTTATGTATTTTGGGAATTTTTTTTAAAAACTAGTGTACTTTGGGATTTTTTCCCCTTAGAGTGTTATTTTCCCCACTACAAATTGCTGGTAGGTTGAGCAAACCACCCTCAAGAGTCCCTTCAATTCTAAGTCTGGAAACAGCAATCTTGCAGACTTCTGTGGTTATGAAATAGAGAAGGAAAACGGGAAGAAGTAATCTCTCGTCATTCATGATAAAAAGAGTCATGGCAGTCTTCTATTTATACTTGTGAAAACTGGAAGTTATCTTCCGAAGAGACACATCCTTTCACAGAAAAAGGGAGTTACCTTTCTGGAAGGACACATACTTTCACAGAAAAAGGGAAGTTATCTTTCTGGAAGGACACTTATTTTCATAATATTCAAACGTTAATTAATTAATATAAAATTAATTAATTAATAAACTGACAAAAAACTCCATCTTTATACTTTACTTCTCCCATTAATGTGGTATTACAACTCTATTAACAAACTCTAACATTATCTTGCAGTCAAACGTGAACTCAAGGCTCTATGGAGATATAGGCCCTCAGAAAATCTCTCTCTGAAATCAGAAGATCCTTTCTTCTTGAATATATGGGCTTTTAAACCAAGTTCCAGTTTCAGGTGGTTATAGTGGCAAAGTTCCAAGGTGGTGCTGCATTCAATGTGATTCCAGATTCTGTAGCAATTGTGGGCACTTTCCATGGAAAGTTATAACCAACTCAAGCTGAGTATTTCGAAGGTCTAATTCTTCGAATTTATGACATATCTTCTGGCTAAATTACTAGTTTGATCACTCAAATTATATAAATCTTTCACGTTTATCATCCAAATTACTTTCCTTTCATATCTGCCACTAACTTTATGATTTGTGTCACGTTAGCCATCGACCGTCAGTCTCTATTTACTTCGTCAGTTATTCGATGAGGTGGCAAACGGAATTGCTAACTGGACCATTAATTTCATGACATGTCAATTTAAAAAATTAAAATAATAAAAAAATAAAATAACAAAAAAACATCCCTAATCTAATCCCAAGTCTGCGGCATTAGGTTAAAGCTTCCAATTCACCAAGGCTTTTCAAATTCAATTCGTTACCATAGAAAATTCAAGCCTTTTCAGCTTCATTTCAGATTGAGAGCATCAAAATTGAAGAGCGCCAACAAGTCTCTCTCATTGTTTCCTACTTACGGTGATGGAATTAGGCAAGAATCTTCATCGTCAGCCTCACCCCGTCGAAGCTCCATTCCCGTAAAAGAGCACCCTCCATTGCGAAGGAGGACTGCAGCGGCATGGTACGTCCTCGGCATGGTGGTTGGGTGTCGCCGCCTTCAGATATGGTCCATTCCCTCTCTCCTCTCTTTCTCTTACCTTGTTCCCACCTTGAGATCTGCACAGAAGGTCGCCGCCTCTTCCTCTCCTCGGCCTTGGATTTCGTGAATCACGAGAAATTCATTGTTGAACAGATCTGGACTAGTGATCTCGACACCATCGATGAAGATCTTGGCGGCGGAGGGCGAATCGGTGGTGGACACGGTGATGCATTTGTTGGGATTAAGAGTCTCGACCTTAGTGCCGAAGGCGAGCTTGCGGTGCGTATGAAGAACTGGTCGCCTGCTAAATCGCGAGCACAGACGGCAGTCTGCTGCTGCAGCTGTGGAATGGATGGCAATTGAACCGCCAATGGAGATTTGATCGGCAAAAACGACTGGAACAACATCCTTTTAATTAATTAATTTTTATTTTTTAATATTTTTCAATTGACATGTCATTAAACTAACAGTCCAGTCAGCATTTCTGTTTGCCACGTCATCAAATAATTGACGGAGTTAACAGAGTCTGACGGAGACTGACGACCGGTGACTAACGGTGAAACAATTCGTAAAATTAGTGGCAGATACGAAAGAAAAGTAATTCGGGTGGCAAAAATGAAAGATTTATATAATCTGAGTGACCAAACTAGTAATTTAGCCCATATATTCTCTTTTCGTTTCCTTCCAAAGCTTTTCACTATCACAAAAACCCTATTTCAGCCTTATCAAGGGACAGGTTGCCGTCCAAAGGTACGGTGTAGAGCCAACATCGATTTCCTCGAACATGAGAAGCCGACATTCCCACCGACAGTGAACATCAAAGATCTTCACGGCTTCTTCAGAGCACTTGCAGGAGATATGCTCGGTGCTGACAAAGTCACGGACATGCAGCCTCTGATGGGAGCTGAGGATTTCTCGTTCTACCAAGAAGTCGTCCCGGGCTACTTCTTCTTTCTTGGCATGTACAATGAAACCTAGAAGAAACTCGACTTAGGCCACTCACCTTACTTTGAAGTGAACGAAGAGGCACTTCCTTATGGCGCTGCGCTTAGGGGCGTCAGTTCGGGTCGGCTTCGGTTACCCAAACCGAAACCCGAAAAAACCCGAAAACCCAAAACCGAAAATAACTGAAACTGAACCCGAACCCTCTAAGGAATTGCGGGTTTCGGGCCGAAACCCGAAAATTCCTTATCGGGTTCGGTTAAAGCAAAACCGAAACCCAAAAACCCTAACGGCTAAGAATACAGGCTAAGTTCTATTCATTGGAGGTTTTTAGCCAGAACCCGAAAAACCGATAAGCAAAACCAAACCCAAAACCGAAAAACCCGAAACCCGAAACAAACCCGAACCCGAAAAACCAAACCCGAATGAACACCCCTGCGCTTCATACATCTCTTGCAATCCGGTACCTTCTGGAATTTGGGCAGAAAAATGGTCCTAGCTTGGAGCAGAAGTATCACGATGAACTGTAAATATACGACTTGTTGTTCAAGAAAACTTGAGATTCTGTTAACTCATTTTACTTGGGCTCCATATATATACTGTAACAATAATTTTGAGCCATGATCCCCAACTAGGACGGGATCAAAGCCCTCGTAGTTCACCCCACATTTTAATTATTTTAAAATATTTACTTACGATCCATCGGTGCATAATGATTTCTTAATTTTACGATGATCCATCGATCATAATTTATTTACAATAGATTAAATGAGTATTGAGCACGTCCCATCGGTACGTAAAAGTTTACTGATTTGAACACGATCCATCGATCGTAATTTGTTTAAAATAGGTTAGATAATGATTTATAATTTGATAAAATAGTATTTTAGATGTTATGTGGACTTGAACCTTTTGGTCGCCTACGTACCCAACATCTCGGCATCAAAGCCCGCATAGTTCAATTTACATTAATTTTTTTGAAAAGGTTGGCTTACGCCCCATCGGTACGTAATGGTCCCTTAATTTGATCATGATACATCTATCATAAAATTTGTTTGCAATAGATTAGACCATTGTCGGTCATGTACCCATCGGTAATGATTTGATCGTGTAATTTGATAAATTGAGATTTTATGAAATAGAATAAATTGATATTGTATGAGTTAGGAAGTTAAATTAGTATTTTAAAAATTGGATGGATTTGAACTTTTCGGTCACCTACGTATCCGACATCTCGGAATCAAATTCCGTATAGTTTGATTTATTTTATGTTGATTTGTTTGTATAACAAAGTGATTAAAAAAAAATAGTTAAATTGTGAGTATGTTTAAATATTGTTATTTGTAATTATGCATCCAAATAGGTTGCAGCGCTCATTTAGTCCCGGGTAACTATTTTAATTTTTGTTCACTTTAAGACTGGGATGGCCATTTCGGGTTACTTAAAAACCGAAATACTGGACATGTAATTTTCACTCAGTATATTTGTAAGGACCTCACCACATGGTTGTCCGTTGCTCAGGTAGCTATGCCACAATGGCTGTCGATTGTCACTGAAGTCTCAAAATTTGTTATGGTTAGATCTTAGCACTTTCAATTTCTTTGGTTACTGATGTATATGTTAGTTTTGGAGGGCATAATTTATGTGTCTGGCTTACCTAAAAAACTAGAGTGATTACTGATTTTATAGGTCTTTGTCAGGTTAGAGTAAGTCATTACTTCTGAGATATGCTCCTTCGGGATAAAATTTTTCTTTCCAAACTCCCAGTCCCTTCTCTTTCCATTCTTTATATACGGTTGTTTTACCATTATTTTTTAGGGATATAGGAACGGCCGTTCCTATCCCAAATCATGTGTTCGTTTTTTATTTCTTTAGATTTTATCATGAATTGGGAAAAACCAGAAAGTACAATGACGACAAGATAAAAGTTTTATAAAGAAAATTAATCGGCCAACAGGCCGAGTAATAGCTAGCAATGATTGTAAAATGCTCATTTTCCGAAGACCGGTGGGATATGCGATTTTTTATTCGATTTTCTGGAATTCGGTTTCTATAAAACTTACTCTACCTCATCATATTACTAAAAATAATATTGTTTCACAAGATAACAGGTACTCGAACTTGGTTCATAAGACTGATTTTTTATTCGTTGCATCATCCAAACCTCTTTCTTGCTAAAACTCACTATATTTATCTAGTATTTCTAAAAAAAAACTATACAACAATAAGCTATACACCTAGAGGTGGCAATTAGAATCCGAATCCATGAATCCAATCGAATCCAATCCATCAACCAAATTATCCACCTAATCCAATCCATTTGATCCAAATCCAATTGGATTGGTGGATTCATGGATCAATCCATGGATCCAAATGGCAAATTACGATTTGGTACCTATATTTTTTATATTTTACGTTTTGGTACCTAAAATTTATATTTTTATACGAAAAATATGATTGGAAAATTATATTTTGGTACCTAAATTTTTTCATTATGACATTTTAGTACCAAAACTTTTCAAATTTTACATTTTGGTCTAAGTCTTGGATGTCATTTGGATTCATGGATCAATCCACCAATCCATTTGATCCAATCCATGAATCCATCAATCCATTGGATCCAATCCATTTGATCCATGGATCCACCAATCCAATCCACGAATCCCTCAATCCGATCCAATTGCCACCTCTATATACACCCCATTACATTATCAAATTTCATACCTCACTTTCCTCAGCCCAACTGGTCGGAGCCTATGCTAGTAATTAAGAGATAGGGTTAAGAAAACATACCTCTAGGTAGGGATGGCAATGGGTCGGGTTGGGTCGGGTTTTGCCAAACCCAAACCCAAACCCATGGGTTTATCTTTGAAAAAAACCCGGGGTAAAACCCACCAGGTTTGAAAAACTCAAACCCAACCCAACTCGTTGGGTATCCGCGGGTTCATGGGTACCCACGGGTTTTGTCGTAAAAAATTTACAATTACAAGTTCTTATCAAAATTAAAGTCAAATATCAATCTCTCAATACAAATTATTCATATATAAAATACAATTCTAGAAAATTCAAGCAAATCACAAATTAACTATACAAATTGTTCAACACCAATCTAGAAAACTTAAGAAAATTGAAGCAAATCACAAATTATCCATAAATAACATATTTAATTGAAAGCTTCTTTCTTTCAATTAAGTTTCTTTAGTCTCCACTCCATAACATCAACTTCATTCTACACAATTAAAAAGAAAAAATTAGACATGTCTCCACAAACATAAATAAGAATAGTTATTTAGAATATTAAATATACCGAAAAAATTAATTATATGAGTGGGCGGGTACCCACAGGCCGGGTTTACCTAAACCCAAACCCAATCCAACCCAACCCGATAAATAGTGAACGGGTTTAAACCCAAACCCGGCCCAAAACCCGTCAACACGGATTTTACCCGCGTTGACCGGATTGGGTCGGGTGGGTACCCGTGAGTTCGGGTTTTATTGCCATCCCTACCTCTAGGCGCCGAGTTCCTCTTTTCTTCAAACAACAACCTTCTCCATCTCTCTTCTTCCTTTCTTTCTGCAAACTGAGCAGGGCAATTAACGGCGGCGGTTGAGCTATTGTCTGGTGGCGGCGAGGATCGAAGATGAAGTAAGCGCGGCGGTAGCCTGGGTACGGCAGTGATGGATTCGGAACGACGACAATGGCGAGGTGGAGGTGAGCGGCGGTGGTCTAGTAGCGGCGAAGAGGTGGACTGGAGGTCTTGAGTTAACGGCCGGCCGAATGTCGATTTCGGTTTGCAGATGGAACCAGCAAGCGGCGATAGAGAGCACCAGCGGTGGCGAAGGTAGAGCAGCGACGCGGCGGTCCGACAACAGTGAGTCAGTGACCAGGTCGGGCTTTTATTATGTTTTTGCACATTTTCCCTGGGTTTTTGTGTTTTCGTTATAGAATGGGCCCAAATGTGTAGTGTTGGCGTTTTAGTGGACTCGATCCCAAAACTTAAAGTGTACGATCAAAACTCAGGATTCAAGTCCGATAAATCATAAATGTGCACGAGAATTTCTCGTGTTTAAATCTTGAATTATTCATAAAAAAATTCATTTCAAACAAATTTATTTAATTTGAAAAAATCCGGACAAAAATTGGTGTCAACACCGATCAACCGGTTAATGGTATACCCCAATTGACGAAACATATATCGACTACCAGTACCAATTTATAATCGGTTAACATGATAACCGAATATTCAGTTACCGGTTATCAACCTGTTATACCGACTGATTATAGATAGACAACCAATTTCAATTCCGATCTTTGTTTCGGATCGGTGAGTGTCACGCAAGAGAAGGGAAAACTTGATAATATTATTAAAAAGCAAGCTAGAAAATTATATATACAATCTTTGCACCCAGTGATTCGGCACAACAAACTATCCTCAGTTCCCACGTTCCTAGTTACAAGCAACAACTAAAAACTCCTACATTTACTGCTAACAACCCGTCAAACACCCCAAATAACTCATTTGTCTTCTAAAACCTAAAACAACTAACCAAAGACTCAACGTAAACTACTTGTTTACACCAAAATAATTTTCATTAATTATTGCATGTATGAACAGTTTGGCCAATTTAAATAGCTGGTCCATGTGTATATGGTTGGTCCAATTTATCAAGTCGGGTCGTAGCAATAATGGATGGTAGTGTGCAATATGGATATCATCCAAATCCCATTATGGATGGTAGTGTCCAATATGGATACCATCCAAATCTCATTATGGATGGTAGTGTCCAACATCATAGATACTATCCAAATTCAGTAATGGATGGTAGTGTCCAATATGGATACCATCGAAAATCCATTATGGATGATAGTGTCCAATATCATGGATACCGTCCAAACCCTATAGTGGATAGTACTATCCAAGATCAGGGACACCATCCAAATCTAATAATGGATGGTGGTGTCCAACATCATGGACACTGTCCAAACCTTATGGTGGATGGATGGTACTATCCAAGATTAGGGACACCATCCCAAA